ATGGACAGATCAATCAGACAGAAACCCAACAGAGAAATAAGAGAATTGCTAGAGGTAATGAATCAAATGGACTTAACAGATATCTATAGAACATTCCCCACCCAAATAGGAAAAAATATACCTTCTTCTCTGCAGTTCATGGAACCTTCTCAAAAATTGACCACATACTTGGTAACAAAGCAAACTTCCACAAATACAAAAAAATATTAGTAACCACCTGTGTCTTGTCAAATCACCATGGACTAAAGTTAGAATTCAACAACAATGCTACCCCAGGAAGCCAACAAACTCATGGAAGTTGAACTGTCAACTATTAAATCACCCCTGGGTCAAGGAAGAAATAAAGAAAGAAATTAAAGTCTTCCTTGAATTTAATGAAAATAAAGACACAACATACTCAAACCTATGGGACACTAGGAAAGCAGTGCTAAGAGGAAAGTTCATATCACTAAGTGCCCAATTAAAGAAAACGAAGAAAGCACACATTGGAGACTTAACAGCACACTTGAAAGCGCTAGAAAAAAAGAAGCTGATTCACCCAGGAGGAGTAGAAGACTGGAAATAATCAAACTGAGGGCTGAAATCAACAAAATAGAAACACAGAAAACAATCCAAAGAATCAATGAAACAAAAAGCTGGTTCTTGGAGAAAATCAACAAGATCGACAAACCCCTATCCAAATTAATCAAACGGCAGAGAGAGAACATGCAAATTAATAAGATCAGAAATGAAAAGGGGGACATAACCACAGACACAGAGGAAATTCAGAGAATCATTAGATCTTACTACGAAAGTTTATATGCCAAAAAGTTGGAAAAAGCAAAAGAAATGGACATTTTTTAGATAAGTACCATATACCAAAGTTGAACCAAGAACAGGTGAACAATCTAAATAAACCTGTTAGTCGTGAAGAATTAGAAGCTGTTATCAAAAATCTCCCTACCAAAAAAAGCTCAGGACCAGATGGTTTCAATGCAGAATTCTACCAGAACTTCCAGGAAGAGCTAATACCTATACTCCTTAATGTATTTCACATAATACAAACAGAAGAGTCATTGCCAAACTCCTTTTATGAAGCTACAGTTACCCTGATACCAAAACGACACAAAAACACAACCAAGAAAGAGAATTACAGGCCAATCTCACTCATGAACATCGATGCGAGAATTCTCAATAAAATACTGGCAAACCGAATCCAAGGACACATTAGAAAAATTATCCATTATGATCAAGTAGGCTTCATCCCAGAGATGCAGGGCTGGTTCAACATACGCAAATCTATCAATGTAATCCATCATATAAATAAACTGAAAAGAAAAAACCATATGATCATTTCACTGGATGCTGAAAAAGCATTTGACAAAACTCAACACCCCTTTATGATAAAGGTGTTGGAGAGATTGGGGATACAAGGATCATACCTAAATATAATAAAAGCAATATACAACAAGCCGACAGCTAACATCAAATTGAATGGAGAGAAACTCAAACCCTTTCCACTAAAATCAGGAACACGACAAGGCTGTCCATTCTCTCCATACCTCTTCAATATAGTGCAATATTGAAGTTCTAGCAATAGCAATAAGACAACATAAGGGGATCAAGGGGATTCGAATTGGAAAGAATGAAGTTAAACTTTCGTTATTTACTGACGATATGATAGTGTACATAAGCGACCCCAAAAACTCTACCAAAGAACTCCTACAGCTGATAAACACCTTTAGTAACGTGGCAGGATACAAGATCAACTTCAAAAAATCAGTGGCCCTCCTATACACAAAGGATAAAGAAGCAGAAAGGGAAATCAGAGAAACATCACCTTTCATGATAGCCACAAATAGCATAAAATATCTTGGGGTTACTCTAACCAAGGAAGTGAAAGACCTATTTGACAAAAACTTTAAGTCTTTGAAGAAAGAAATTGAGGAGGATACCAGAAAATGGAAAGACCTCCCCTGCTCTTGGATTGGGAGAATCAACATAGTAAAAATGGCAATTCTACCAAAAGCAATCTAGAGATTCAATGCAATCCCCATCAAAATCCCATCAAACTTCTTCACAGACCTTGAGAGAACAATAATCAAGTTTATATGGCAAAACAAAAAACCCAGGATAGCCAAAACAATCTTATACAATAAAAGAACTTCTGGAGGCATCACCATCCCTGACTTCAAACTCTATTACAGAGCTACAGTATTGAAAACAGCTTGGTAATGGCATAAGAACAGAGAAGTCGACCTATGGAATCAAAAGAAGACCCGGATATTAACCCACAAACCTATGAACACCTAATTTTCGACAAGGGAGCTAAAGGTATACAATGGAAGAAGGAAAGCATCTTTAACAAATGGTGCTGTCATAACTGGATGTCAACCTGTAGAAGAATGAAAATAGATCCATATCTATCACCATGCACAAAACTCAAGTCCAAATGGATTAAAGACATCAACATTAATCCAACCACTTTGAACCTGATTGAAGAGAAAGTGGGAAGTAGTCTACAAGATATAGGCACAGGAGACCACTTCCTAAGCAGAACCCCAGGAGCGCAGGCAATAAGAGAAACAATGAATAAATGGGACCTCCTGAAACTGAGAAGCTTCTGTAAAGCAAAGGACACTGTCAGTAAGACAAAAAGGCTACCTTCGGACTGGGAGAAGATCTTCACCAACCCCTCATCAGACAAAGGTCTGATCTCCAAAATATACAAAGAACTCAAGAAACTACACACTAAAACTCTTATTAACCCAATTAAAAAATGGGGTACTGATCTGAACAGAGAATTCACAACAGATGAACTTCGAATGGCCAAAAGGCACTTAAGGTCATGCTCAACCTCCTTAACGATCAGGGAAATACAAATCAAAACAACTTTGAGATACCATCTTACACCTGTCAGAATAGCCAAACTCAAAACCACCACTGATAGCCTATGCTGGAGAGGATATCGAATGAGGAGAACACTCATCCATTGTTGGTGGGAATGCAAACTTGTGCAGCCACTGTGGAAATCAGTGTGGCAGTTTCTCAGGAAACTGGAGTCAACCTCCCTCAGGACCCAGCAATTCCACTCTTGGGAATATACCCAAGAGATGACCTAACATACTACAAAAGCATTATTTCAACTATATTCATAGCAGCACTATTTGTAATAGCCAGAACCTGGAAACAACCTAGGTGCCCCTCAATAGAAGAATGGTTAAAAAAGGTGTGGAACATGTACACATTAGAGTTTTACTCAGCGGTAAAAAACAATGACATCTTGAATTTTGCATGCAAATGGATGGAAATAGAAAACGCTTTACTGAGAGCGGTAAGCCAGATCCAAAAAGAGGAATATGGTATGTATTCACTCATATGTGGATTCTAACCATAATTAAAGGTCTTTGAGCCTATTATTCGTGATCCTAGAGAAGCTAAATAAGAAGGTGAACCTGATGAAAATCATGTAGCTATCTGCCTGGAGATTGGAAAAAGACAAGAGTCCCAGGTAACCTCGGGTGCATGGGGGGGGTGGGAGGGTTGTTGGAAGGGGAGAGGGTTAAAGAGAAGGGAGTAGGGGAGGAATGGGGAAAGCTCGGTGGACTGGGATGGGGGGAAGGAGGAAGGATGGATATGGGATCAGGGAAGAATATATTTCAACTAAGGGAGTCATTTTAGGGTTTACAGGAGACTTGATTATAAATGGGATCCCAGGTCCAAGGAGAGATCCCCAATTGTTCTCTGGACAGAAGAGAGGGTGCCTTAAACGTCCTTGGCCCATAACCATACTGATGAATATTTTGCTTATCACCATAGATCCTTCATCTGGCGATGGATGGAGATAGAGACAGAGACCCACACTTGAACACTGGACTTAACTCCCTAGGTTTAAACGAGAAGCAGAAGGAAAGAGAACGTAAGCAAAGAATGCAAGACCAGAGGGAACCTTCATCCGACGATGGATGGCGATACAGACGGAGACCCACATTGGAGCACCGGACTGAGCATCCCAAGGTCCAAATGAGGAGCAGAAGGATGAAGAAAATGAAAAAGGAAATGAGGACTGCGAGGGATGCTATCACCCACTGATACAAGGGAACGGATCTAATGAGAGTTTACCAAGGCCAGTTGGACTGGGACTGAACAAGGACGCGATCCAACCAGATTCTCTGAATGTGGCCAGATTCTCTGAATGTGGCTGGCCCGGAGTCTTTCTGAAAAGCCATTGACAATGACACTGGAACTTGTTTCCTCTGCATAAACTGGATTGGGGATCCAGTCTGTCTCTACACTCACCTTCCTGGATCTGGAGGGAGCAGGGAGGAACTTGAACTTCCCACAGGGCAGGAAACCCTGACTGCTCTTAGGGATGGGGATGGAGGAGGAGAGGGAGTGGGGGGAGTGGGAGGGTGTTGGGAGGAGGGGCGGAAATGGAATCTTTTATAATTTAATAAAATTACTTTCAAAACAATAAATAAATAAATGATGGTAAAATTCCAATATTAACATTTGATGTGAGAAAGTTGCAAATAGTCTCTGAGTGTTTTGAGGAGGTCTGGCCAGAGTGTTGTCAAAAATTGTTTATCATTTGGAACTGTCTTGTGCACCTGGTACCAAAAAACAGGTCTAAAAGTAGCGCTATCCACATTACGATATCATAGTAACCAGGTGGAGTTGATGTTGTGGGGCCCCATCTTTATCCTAGAAACTTTAAAGATTACTGCAGGACAATTTGTTTGTTACGGGAAAGTTAAACATTATCTACGAAGACATATACAGATATATATATTAATAAAGACAGAAACAGATGTGGGGAAAGGCAAAGAAAATTTGTCAATTATTATTATTATTATTCTGTCCCATATCTTGGTTCTTGACATGAGACAGAAACTCTGGGATATCTCTTTTCAACAGGCTTGGAAGTGAAGAGGGACTGAGCCATAGTCCAACTCCAAAACCAACTCTACATATTTATAAACAAATGCATATTAGTACATATTAAAAATAGTAATACTTACCTAAACTATTTGGTTTTATTGCTGATCCTCTTTGGGTTGTAGATGGTTTTTATTCATCAGTATTCAAATATCCAGGGTCCCTTGAATTCTTTGAAAATGAGTGTTTTCCTGTGAAGATAAGAAGAGAACACTGCCCCCAACTTATATATATTTTTCTTACCTTTGGTGTGATTATTATCCTTGTGAATGAGTTGTTATTTATCTCTTCCAAGAGGCTTCCCCTCTTCAAACTGAACCTTTATTAATTTTGATGGTATCCACAATTTTTCCTCTCCCGTGGAAACTAGAGCAAAACCCCTTCCCCAATGCACCACATCTCCTGGCTTCCATTGTGAGGTCAGCACATCCTTGAAATAAATTGATTGATTTAATTCAGCAGACTTTTCCATTATCCAGTGTCTTTCTGCAGCCATTGTCCCCTTCTCATTAGCGTTGAGAAAATTCAAGGTTAATAAAACATTATGTAACCTATTTCTGGGGGTATTTTCCACCCCTTTCTGTTTGTTCAACATAAACTTTATAGTTTGATTTGATCTTTCTATAACTGCTTTCTATAACTGCTTGACCTGTAGGATTGTATGGTATACCTGTAACATGCTTAATATTGTAATATTAAGCAAAAAACCGTTTCATTTTCCTAGAAACATAAGCTGGACCATTATCCATCTTTATTTGTGCAGGTATATCCAGGATGGCCATAACTTCTAATAAATGAGTGATTACTGAATCAGTTTTTTCTGAGCTTAAAGCAGTTGCCCATTGGAAACCTGAGTACGTGTCAATGGTGTGGTGTACATATTTTAATTTGCCAAATTCTGCTAAGTGGAACACATCCATCTGCCATATTTCATTCTTTTGAGTATCCTTTGGATTAGTCCCTGCAGGCAGTGGTGTTTGGTTATAAAAGAACAAGTAGGGCATTTCTTTACAGTCTCCTTAGCTTGTTGCCATGTAATAGAAAACTCTTTCTTCAAGTCTTTGCTATTAACGTGATATTTTTTATGAAATTCAGATGCCTTCAGCACACTACCAATCAATAATTGATCAATATCTGCATTACCTTGTGCTAGAGGGCCTGGAAGACCCGTATGGGATCGGATGTGTGTTATATACATAGGGCAAAGCCTGTTTCTGATCACGTCTTGTACCTGGATAAACAATGAGGTCAGTTCTGTATCATCAGGTATAAATTCAGCAGTTTTAATATGCAAGAAAACTCTTTCTGTATATTGTGAGTCAGTAACTATATTAAGAGGTTCTTTAAAATCCCTAAGCACCATAAGAATGGCATATAATTCACCTTCTGGACAGAATCATAAGGACTTTGTTCCACTTTACTCAATTATTCTGATTTGTAACCCACCTTCCCTGATTTATTAGCATCAGTATAAAATGTACGGGCTCTGGTTATTGGAGCATCATGGATGATTCGAGGAAGAATCCAAGAAGTAATCTTTATAAAGTTAAGTCTCTTGCTTTTTGGATAATTGTTATTAATTTCTCCCAGAAAATTAGCACAAGCTCTTTGCCATGGTTCATTGTCTTCCCGTAATTTTTTTTATCTCATCAGCAGTGAAAGGCACTATAATTTCTGCTGAGTCTATGCCTGATAATTGACAAAGTCTCAATTTTCTTTTTATAATCAATTCAGAGACTTTTTCCAAATAAGTTTTTAATTTTTTACTTGGTTTATGTGGCAAAAAGATCCATTCCAAGACAATATCATCTCTTTGCATCAAGATTCCAGTGGGAGAAATTCTGGAAGGCAATATGATGAGAATACAACTAAACTTTGGATTTACCCTGTCCACATGTATGTTCTGTAATTTTTCTTCAACCATTGTCAGTTCTTTTTCTGCTTCAGCTGTTAATTCTCTGGGACTGTTTAAGTCTTTATCACCATCCAAGGTCTTGTTTAAATGAATTATTAGATCAGGTGTTATCCCAACAGCCAGTCATAGGCTGGACATGTCTCCTAATAATCTTTGAAAATCATTAAGAGTCTGTAACTGGTCTCTCCTGATTTGTGCCTTTTGTGTCTTAATTTTTTGTAAACCTATTTTATAACCTAGATAATTAACAGAATCTCCTCTCTGAATTTTTCAGGAGCAATTTGCAATGCCCATTTAGGTAAAACTATCTTTACTTCTTCAAACAGCCTTTCTAAGGTATCTATGTTTGCATCAGACAACAGGACATCTTCCATGTAATGGTAAATGATTGACTTGGAAATTGATTGCATAATATTTCCAATGGTTGGCTTACAAAATATTGACACAGAGTGGGAGAGTTCAATATTCCTTGTGGGAGGACGGTTCACTGGTACCTCCTTGTAGGCTGAGAGTTATTCTAAGTAGGCACTGTGAAGGCAAACTTTTCTCTATCTTTTTCTTGTAAAGGTATAGTGAAGAAACAATCTTTTAGATCAATAACTATAAGAGGCCATCCCTTTGGTAACAGGGAGGGCAGGGGAATTCCAGATTGCAGAGGACCCATAGGTTGAATAACCTTGTTGATAGCCCTAAGATCTGTCACCATTCTCCATTTACCAGATTTTTTTCTTAACAACAAATGCAAGAGAATTCCAAGGGCTCGTAGATTCTTCTATATGTCGAGCATCTAATTGCTCTTGTACCAGCTGTTCTAAAGCCTGCAACTTTTCCTCAGCTAAAGGCCATTGCTTAGTCCATATTGGTTCCTCAGTCAACCATTTTAGAGACATGGCTGTTGGTACCTCTGAAGGGTCATCAATTGTTTTGTGTTCTTGTACAGCTCTACGAGCTGGTTTCTGCCATCTGTAATATCTTTTAATATTTTCCTCAGAAATATAGACTCTAGAAGCAGCAGGAATGTTAATTTGGGTTTTCCATTGCTGCAATAGTTCATGGCCCCATAAATTCACTGCAATATTGGCTACATATGACCTTAATTTTCCTATTTGTCCTTCTGGCCCTATGCATTTAACCCATCTCACACTTTGTCTTACTTGAGATAGAGCTCCAATTCCCAGGAAATGAATATCTACCTCCTGAAGAGGCCAATGCGGATGCCAAGATTCTGGAGTAATGATACTTACATCTGCACCTGTGTCCAATAAGCCAGTAATAAATTTGCCATGTACACACACTCTTAGCTTTGGTCTTTGTTCATTTATAGAAGTCTGCCAAATATGCGTTTACTTTGTCCTCTTAGATTTCTTGATTCATTTACCACATTTAACTCATCCTTCAGGTCATTATTGCTTTTAACAGCAGGCATGGGGCTTTCTAATTTCCCTGAAGAGGCACGTTCTCTGCAGTGACCAGAAATGACTGAACCACATTTGCCATGGGGGCCTGCGAGAGGCCCCTCATTGCATTTTCCGATGGTAACCAGTTGCCTTGTTTATCTCTTGTTGATCTACACTCATTCGTCCAATGTCTTTCTTTTCCACATCTCCTACATAAACCTGAAGGCTGAGTCCTCCTATTCCTGTTATTCCTAGAAGAGGCATTATTCCTGGAATTCCATTGTCTGCAGTCCCTTTTCATATGTTTCATTTTACCACAATGAAAGCATTTGGTAATGTGATGTCTCCTTTTACCTTTGGAAATTGCTTCTTCTACCCGTTCTTCAATGCCATAGTCAAATATTTCAACATTCATTGTATGCAATACCCTTTCATCCAAGGGTGCTGATCTAATCTTTAAAGGCCCCAGGATCCTTTTGCATTCTACATTGGCATTCTCATAAGCCAAAGACTCAATTACTATATTTCTTGCTTCTGGATCAGGTATCCCTATTTGTACAGCCTTAGTTAATCTTTGTAAAAAGTCACTCAAGGGTTCTCTCTGACCCTGTTTGGCCCTGATAAACGATTCTACTCTCTGATCTGGGTCTTGAACCCTGTCCCAAGCCTTTAAAGCTGCTGTGGTACATATGGATAAAATGTGTTCATCATAAAGAGCTTGTTTCTGAGGATCAGAGTAAAGTCTTTCACCTAGAATTTGATCTAGAGAAATCTCAATTCCTTTTGCTGATTCTTGCTGTTGTAAAAGTCTGGCCTCTTGTTTGAATAGGCATTTGAAATGCCACAAAGGTCCGTTCTCTAGGACAGCTGGAGTCAATTGATTCCAGTCTTGTGACATTGCTCTGTTCTAAGAGCCCATGTTTTGAGCATCTCTCTAACAAAGGACGAATGTAGTCCATAATTAACAATTGCTTGTTTAAATTCTTTCAAATCACTCATATGTACAGGCTCCCATGTATGTTCTTTAATGATCTTAGGGTTTTTGGAGCTGGTTATCTTTTCTGATGTTATTACTGGAAAGGTAGGTAGAACTCTGGGTAAACCGAAAGTTTTTGGAGTTAAATTTTGCCTTCCTACCTTTTGCTCATGTTCATCAGAGTCTATGATTTCTTCAATCTTTTAAAATCTGTTCACCATCACCTTCTGTAAGTCCTGAATCTCCTGTCCAGTATTATGCTCCAAAGCCTTCATTGAGGATTCTAAGGTATGGAGTTTGTCCATTAGAGATACCATCTGCTCCTTGGACATAATCCTCATGGCATGTACTGTGCCTTCTTGCATGGAAATCCTGTCAATTAATCTATCATACCCTTTTGATAAAGTCCAGTTTTCACATTCAATGGTTTTAATCCTCTCAGCTAATGTTTCAACACTTACAGTCATGGACTGGAGGCTACGAGCCATATTAGTTGTTCCCTCCTCCAGAGCAGTGAAACTCTCTTTTAAAGAAATAATATTAGACTGCACCTTCTCAAAATTTTGGTCAGTCAACCGAGTCATATCAGACAAAGATCTAGTCTCCTCCTTGAGGACTCCAAACTCTTTTTTTGAGGAGGTTGGTGTCAGTCTGAGTTGTCCTTAAGGTTTGAACCTCTGCCTTTAGCATTCTGGATTCAGTCTGTAAGGTTTGCATTATCCTCAAAAGACTGCCAAACACCAAAAAAAGATAAGCCCCAGAAATAACCAAGTAAGAGGAATATCAGAAACATCTTGCAAGATCTCATCCATAGTGTAATTAAAAAGGCTATGGAAACCTTAAACAGTAATGTTGTCTGACATTTTCAATCAAAAGAATCTTACTTGTATTTATTTTACCTGTAATTACAGATGCCTGCCAGTCAGTGGCGGGGTGTACCTGAATCCATGTGGCAGGGGAGTCAGACCCGGAAGAAAATTCTGAAATATATATACTCAAATCCAGACATTA